CAGAAGAATATAGCTTGGACGCAATCGGAAGTAGACATATCCCCCGATAGTTGTTACAGGAACGACGTTGACCCTTTTTAAAGATAGGGACACCTATCGGCTCATTCCATGACGTTGGTACACTTTCTAGCTCCCAGACTTTTGTAAACAACGTCGTCAGTACCTTGGTCAGAAAGTCCTCGCCGGCCACCTAAACGACTCTCTTCTTTGCCTAGACACCCGATCTGAGCATTCAAGTGTCCGGCTAGTACTACAATATCTGTCGAACACGCTTTCTGGAGAAGAACAGATAACTGGTGGTAAAACTCATTCTTGATTGCATCCGTGCTGCAGTCTGTAGGAGCATAGGTAAAGATGACGAAAAGACATCGTTTCTCACGCCAATTTCCCCTCACTTTGATGGAATTCTCTAATCTAACAGCACATAAACGACTGTTAATGGGGATCCAATCGATTAGTGCTGCCTCAGTTCTAGCGCTTAGTGTGACACCGATGCCAGCAAGAACAGACGAAGATGCCACAGGGTCCCCAGGTAAACGCACGCGAAACAAGCTTTTTGAAGCGACAGATGGAAAGCGTATTTGTAGCACTTCACCAGAGTCTTGAATACGGGTCTCGGATAGACAGCAGACATCGATATTAATACTTTTCAAAGACATTGCCGGCCTTATCTGTTGTCTGATCTGCATAAGTGCGCGAACGTTGAAGGCTTGTGGTTTCAGAAAAATTGCTTCAGAACTCATATTCGGTGGTAAGATACAATTTTCAACCGGACAGTGACTCGAGAACGTCTAGATACAGTCGAATTTCCACCAAAGACGAGCTGCTGTATAAGACGAAAAATAAGTATAGGCGGAGTAGGAATAAAAGAGGGCGAATATTGACGTAGTAAATAATAATAATAATGATAGTTATAATAATAACGCTAGTCACTTGATGGTCATTTGGAGCGAGGAGGATATTGTTCATAAGTAGACAGTTTAACATGCTTTTGTGTGCGGGATGAGATACTGCCCGGTCGCCCAAACCAAAGGAGGTGGATTTATAAGGGGGCCACCCCCCGAGCCTTCGACCTGAAGGTCTGATCCACAAGGCAGTGGAGCATCGTAAGGAGATGCAGTCCCATGGTAGCCGGTGACCAACAATTGGTCCATACGCCATTTGTTCCCGCAGGATACTGGTTCCCATGTGCACCATTGATTTGGGATCCGGTTAAAGTGCCGGACATTCGCTTTTCAACCTCTCGTTTTCGTAAACAACACCCAATGTGCGAGAAGGCAGTGAGTAGGACTTCCCTGGCAGAGGCTATATACGCGTGGCCGTGTGAGAGCATTTCGAGAGGGGGGGCGGACCGCCACACTCTCAGCCATACCAGGGCATTTGGAGGCAAATCACTTAGCCCGACTTTGCAAAAGAACACAAACATTGGTCAACTCAATAGTGACTTCGTTTCAAAAAATGTTACGTGGATTCGAGTTGAAATCTAAGAAGTAGAAAACATTTAACTTTCACTTAATGAATTCACATCACAAACAGTACTAAGTACGCGTGAAACAATTTTGAACGGGCCACTGTTTTTATCAAATAAAATGTAGGATGTAAATGTATATATTGTTAAATCTTGTTTTCAGAAAATTATCTTAATAACATTAGGCAGAAAACCTGATAAACTTATCAATCCTGTTGTCTTGCTCTTAGGACTGATTAATTCTAATTCATCTAGTTGCGACATGGACACTATTCCAGTTAACTTGACATTACACTCATAAAAATACGATGTTTGATGATTAGAGAGACAAATGTTAGAACCAAAATTTTGAATGCAGACACAAAATTGACGTATGTATTTGTTACGTACGCTACCTGATTAACGCATAATACGATATATAACCAATGGTACTCGAATGTATGTAAAGTCCTGAAGTCTCAGATCAGAAGACAAAAGAAGCAGGTAAACTGATTGTTCGGTTGGAACTAAAAATGTACAGGAAATCATGGGTAGGTTTAGATATTAGTGTTAGATATATCGTCATTATAATCCAGCGAATCGGTAAGAAAACACATAAGGCTACTTTCCAAGCGTAACGTGCAGCGTTAATATTCAAGAAGAAACTCTTCAGTTTCCTTTATAGCCTCTAGAAGCTTCATCGTGCGTCTTAGATGCCGTCCCGAAAGTTATATTCATAAATTTTCAAGCAGGTTTCCTTAAACCGGGATTTATCGTGCACCATTAAGATTACCTCATTCGTTTTAGTTTATATATTCACTCGAAAACTTATACAAATAAGAAACTATTAAATATGCTGAGAATTGCTGAGAACTTACCTGAAATTTAATTGTTCATCGTAACAACAAATATAAATATTTCTCTCGAACAGCAAATCAAATCTGACAGGTTGACATAATGCTACCACATTAGAATGAACTGAATGTGGGTGTTAAACATAGAAACCATGATACCGGGAATATAAATAAGCTGAATGTTAATTTTTTTCAATTTCCGAAATAATAACTCTAAGCGGTGAAAATCCAACCATAAAAAACTCACCTTGCATCCGTTTATTTCAGAAGGACCTAAAATATGAACAACGCATTTAATGTGCAATATTTTCCAAATTATTATTTACCAAACTCCATACTTTATTGGTTTTGCGTGATAATACTTGTTATTAGAATGCACGGCCAAAACATTAATTTACCTAGAACTTACTTCTTGTAAACCGCAAGTTTCGGCGGTCCCGGATATGACTTCAGATAGATCGTTTGTTGCTTGTTATCGAATGATTGACGTCAAAATACACATCCTAGCAATCATCATCGACTTAAATCGCGCTAGTAAATAACGGACTTAAAGAAGTGGAATACGAGAATGCAGTTTGGATATATATACTTTGTACTGTCGTAGATTGGCACAGACAATCAAGGAAACGGAGCAAATATGGCGTAGAAAAGAGAGAAGTGAAATAAAGAGCGGGGGAGAAAGCGAATGAGCCAACTCCATTTAACCAAGCGTTAATTGTTATTTATATTAAGATAAAAATAAGTTACCGACATGTGGTGAGTAATTGAGAAAATGCACACACATGCGCTCATCTAAAAATTCAAAATAAAAAAGCGAATGAGTGACGAGGTCAAAGTGCAGCTTAAAGAGAATGAATAGATTGGTTTGCTGAAAACCAGAATAAACTATTGCAGGGCTAGTAAATGTCACTAAGTCCTAAACAAATCATCCGGCAGTTGAACCACTGAATATTGAGCTGATCAATCCCTGTCAAGATCAAGGACGACCAACGCTCATCAGTTATTCGCATGGCGTGGACTGGCTCATGGGGCTGTGGTCTTGCTTTCGCTTGTACCAATTTTAACGAATACATTTCTGTAATAACATCATTTGTGTTGTCCAGGCTTCAAAGCATCTGTACTCTCTTGATACGTCAATCGAGTAGTCCACGTAAGGTGCCGACCACGAAGTGTGATTTCGACGTCAGCTGGTCATTCACATCATTGCCGTCTAACTCGAATAGGCTTCCGATCATTCGATATAGATCATCTACACTAGTGATCTACACTAAGTGGGTTTAACATAGCACATGACGTTACACTATCTCCCACACAGTTGTCAACTTGATTTGATGTAGTACTTTCAGTGTCTTGAGAATAAGACGTATGACCAATACAAGAACCTGTAAACCATGTAAATTCGGATGCTCTCTCAAAGCACATAGACGGTTAGACCGGTCACCCATATTTCGAAGAAAATGACGAAATCAAAACTAGTGACAGTAAAGCATAGTTGAGTGTTAGAATGATGTTTAAAATCACAAACAAATACGGGTAGCAAATTAGAGTGAATGATCATATCCCTATTTTCTTTTAAGGCCGCGGTGATGGCGGCTAACTACACAATTAAATATTTTGTGCTGTGTTTAAACCAATCATAATAATACAATACAACTTCATATCGCGTACTGTATGTCACCAACGTAGATGATCTGTGTCGGGTGATGGGGGCTCATTCGAGTTTGAAGGAAAGCTAACTTTTAAGTCACACCTGGCGGCCAGCATCTCACGTGGATTACCGTTTCATCGTATCAAGGTGCTATGGATCATATAACACAAAGCACGTTATGACAGAAATATATTATTGAAAGTAGATAGAATGAAGAGATTGAGATTACCACTGCAAGAGCCAGTTCATGGCGTGCGATTTACTGATACGCGTTGATTGTCCTTGAACTAGGTGAGGATCAGTGACTGTTCGATATTCAATAACTTGACTTCCGGATGATTTAGCTAGGGCCCAGTGACATTTCACTGGCCCTTCAGTACTCCGATTTTGTGTTCTTGACTGTTTCTTATCAAAGTTGTAGACTCATTTTAGACATTAGTATTTCGTTAGCTTATTTTGTATTCACATCTGGCGCCACAGTAAAAACGGACACAAAGAAATACTTTGTAAACGCGTCACTGTAGAAACTGGGATATCCTAAGGAGTGTTCTGATGCTTATGATAGTTACGTATTCTCAAGGAAGATAGCATCTCAAGTAGTTTTATTTGCGTTATTGGTAAATAAGCCTATACTTCATGAAAGAAAGTTGTATATCCTGACAAACTTTTTCACCCTTCGTTCAACGTACTTAGGAAGCTACTAATAGATCATTGTCAGTTAACCTTGTTCTTAGCACGTAAGAGAGCACAGTTCGACAAAATGTTTAATGCTTTGAATCAATTGGTTTCAGTTTGTAAACAGTTTTTGTCTTCATTCAAATTTTTTCTCACAACTAATTTGTACAATTACCATTATTGCCTATAAAATCGTTGCTTAAGTAAGATTTTGCCGTTGTCCTCCCGTTCCAGTTTTGAGCTTTCATTGCATGACACATCGATCACCGCTCACGAGATCACTGCAAAATACATATGTGTAATGATGAAATGAATAAATTGAAAGACAAGTCTTTTCGTTTATCCACTTGAGTGTTAAGTTTCTCAAGGTCAAAAGCACGAAACTAAAGTATGTGGGGTGTTTGAAGAGCAACGTTGCTGGCATATTTGCTATTGAGAATGTTCGTATAGTTTCCTTTTGAGACGCTAAAGTTATTGATGTACTTGGTGGTCAATTAACTCTTTATTTTTATTTTACTACTATAGTACCAAGGTGTCATTAGCTGCGTTATGTTTGCTAGAAATATTTATAGTATTACGCAACGCTTAATATACTTATATATTATTCCTTTATTAGTGTCATATTTATTTTCAACATTCTTAATGTTCTTTCAGATAATTACGCTCACCGCGTGACTTTATTTATTCATAGTTCACTTCTCACAGTGACTTCCTAGATGGTATTAGTGAGGAAGTAATCACTTCAAATATACTTTGGATCTTTTATAGGACGGCAGTATATAACTGTTGATAGCGAGAGTTTTGAGTAAATTATATGTCATAGAACATAGAGCCAACCGTAGCTTTGTTTGGAAGCTGTCTCGGTCTATGCAGAATTATCCTTGTACTTAATTTATTATTATTTATTTTTTTAACACATAGATATTAGTCCAAGGAGGCACCAAATACATATGCGCCACAAAAATCTCATCCGATATGTGTGAGGGCTGTGATACTCCCCGGCTGCCCAAACCGAAGGAGGTGGATTTATAAGGGGGCCACCCCCCGAGCCTTCGACCTGAAGGTCTGATCCACAAGGCAGTGGAGCATCGTAAGGAGATGCAGTCCCATGGTAGCCGATGACCAACAATTGGTTCACACGCCATTTGTTTATTCAGGATCTTGGAGCCTATGTGTACCATTGATTTGGGATCCGGTTAAAGTGCCGGACATTCGCTTTTCAACCTCTCATTTTCGTAAACAACACCCAATGTGCGAGAAGGCAGTGAGTAGGACTTCCCTGGTAGAGGCTATATACGCGTGGACATGTGGAAGCATTTCGAGAGGGAGAGCGGACTCTCCCCACTCTCGACCGTACCAGGACATTTGGAGGCACTTCTTAATTTACTTCGAAGTAACTGGTCGTGAAGTATGAGCGTGGTTAGTAAAATGAATATAAGTCGGTAAAGAGCATATACGCTATCGGTTAGATCAAAGCTTGTAATTATTCGATACAGTATTTACAACACTCAGTCGCATCGTATAGTTTGGCACAAATACACATCAGCCCATTTTTACAGGTACGACGAACTCTCAAAAGTCGATATAATACATTACCGACCAGTTGTTTTTGTTCACATATTGTTTAGTTTAAAAGAGATTAGTAGGTGTTTGTGTTTCAGGGTTATCACTGATGCCTGAGCTGACGGTTCCCACGACTTTACATTACTCGTAATCATAACATAACTTCTCACTTTGTATAAGTTTCTGCCTTTTTTAATCATAGTCTGTTAGGCTGAGGTTTAAGTGTTCAGACAACATAGTGGCTAGAATAACCTAATTGTAAGTTGTAATACATATGAATAAGGTAGACTGGGTAGCTGTGAGTATAAAATACAAAACTAGTTGACTAGCAATTCCACCATATCCTTTTACATTGAGTTTCTATGTTTCTACATTTTACAGATTATTTAAGGCTCGTAAATCTTGTACAAAAACTTACAAACGTAGTTGAAATTGTGACAAGAACATTGTTGCGTGCTGTCATAGGTCAGCAGTTAAATTTCACCATGTTAAATCGTTAGTTTGTGGGCTTGAATTTTACTCTACCTTAATAACTGCGTAGTACTACCAACTCAAAATGTCTAAATCAAAATACCAGACTGGCCTTGGTTTCTGAGTTTCAGTAGATAAAATTAATGGCTACATTTCAATGAATTTTCCATCAATAACTATATCCATATAATTATTTTTTTAATCATAATCCAAATGAGTCAGCTTTTGTACTCTTAATTGCGTTTTCCTTTCACATAGTGTACCCTAACAACCTAGTCAAGATTTCTTCGATTCTCCATGCATAAAACGTCATAGTTAACAACTTTACCAGATGCTTCTTTCTAGTTGCTTTATTTTTTACGCGATCCTTGTAACCCACTCAAGTCATTACAATAAGTAAAATACCCAAAAAATACTTGGCCATCATTCCCATACACATGTCCAGATTTTTGTGATAATTTATTTATTTATTTAATTGCATGCATTTTGCAGCTTTGTTGCCATTTTATTACTTTTTGCTCTATGTTTTGATTGAATTCTGAAGCCATCAAATATTTCTGTAATCAAATGTAAGTTGGCTTACTGTTATGGCTTCTTATGCGACAGAAATGCACGCTTCTTCTGGTTGTGAAGTCTCACACAATAAACAGTCTCAAAATTCATCTGATTCTTATGGGAACAAAAAAACCTGTGAGTTCTTTTCACAATGTAGCAACGGTAGCTTCATAACTTTTTAAAAGTTTATTGGTGGGTTATCAGTTTAGTAATGACACTGTATTCGTCGATCTAGTAGCTTTGGTATGAACAAGACCATGTTAACTGCCGGCGAGTTTATTTAATAGTTGATACTACAATGACAAACTAATTCGAAACCTGCGTAATCGACGTTTTATTTCACAGAGTCCTACTCAGCAGTAAATACAATCCTATTGGCCTTATGACTTTTTATAGGGGATCTTATTGTTATCTTTAACAATTCTAATTGATAGCTTTTACCAAACACACAGTTACATCAAAAGAGTGGTGGTCGAAATCCCTTTGGTTTGATATTTGTTTTGGTTCGACAAGTTTACTTCGAATATGTGTAAGTTATATAATCGTCTTGTGAAGTTCTATAACATGATCCTCCAAAATAGAAAAAAGTAATAATGTTCACAATTACGAACTAACTCTTGTCTTTCCACGGTGAAATATCAGTTCCTATTGGGCTGGTAGAATCGTGTATATTAAGTCAGTTATAAAAAAAGATGGATAGTAGGTAGCAGAAAAATCCAAGATATGTTTCGCCCCATTAGAGACTGGTCATCTGGATGTGCTTGCATCCCAGAGTTGATATTCGTTTCCGGACTCGAACAAAGCACCGTCCACCTGAAACGCCATCGCGCTATCCACTTAGCTACTTACTTACATAATAGGATGAGTGACCGATTGCAGTCTTAATTATCAGTGGAAAGATTCAAAAACAACCAATATAAATGAATATTAAGTCGATGTTCATAAATGTTCTTTCCTGTATATTTGTTAATGCTGTTTCAATCTTTGTTATTTTCTAGCATCTACACATTCCACCAACAATTATAAAAGTTCATTCGAAAGAACTAATCATCCACCAATATCTCAGTCAGTTCCATCTTGCTCAGACATGAATCCTGTAACAAGCCAGCTTCAACCGCAACATTCACAGTACCGTTATTCAGATCCGTATAGTTTCCTACGTCAGCCAGAGTCTAATCCACGGACGCTTCCTAATTCTGATACTATGAATTGTGTCCCCTCAATTTATACAAGCCCAGAATATAATTTAAACAGTCCAGACTTATGCACACAGACCAGTCATTTACAGTCTTATTTACATCGTGTATCTTGTTGCTTGCCTCAATGTCCACAATGTCTTTCTTACAATCTTTTCGCTCAATCTTATAATTTTCCAAACAATGGAACAGCTCTACAACCACCTTTAGTATTGTCTCCAACTATGTTGAATAACTACTCAACTTCAGCACTGTGTTGTCCATCAGCTTCTCAAATACCATATTATTTTTGGTACAACCAGGATCCTGAATACCAGAAACAATATTATCAAACTCAATTAGCTATGTCTAAGTTGAATCTGGACCATTCGTCTCCAAATACATGTATGATGGTACAATCGGGACCAGATCCTATGCATGGGCCTTTGCCAAATCAAGCACATCAAGCTGAGGCAAATTATTCTACAAACCCAAATACTTTTGCTTCAGTAAGTGTATTGAATAACATCATATTCGCAAAAGTATATTTCAGTGTGTTCGGGTTTAACAGGTTGACTCAGCTGAATTTGAAACTGTGATCCTTTTTTAGTGTTAGGTACATTAGTTGTTTAATAATTAAAAATAACAACTCTCCGATACATTCAAAAAGAGATGGTATAATCACGTTCGTTATAGTATTTTAAAATAAAGTGGAAATTCAGATTCAAATTCTTGGTTTCAATGTGAAGTCTTATGCGTTGCGTTTGTGGTTTTACCTCAATTCAACTTGATTGATTAATAATATGATGGGCATAAAGAAACACTGGTTACTTTGTTGCCTTTATTCATAGCTTTGATTAAACACGTTTTTAGCTACTAAACAACTCAATAATACTACCCTAATTGAATATTCTCCATCAAAATAGCGACTTCACGTCAGAACTAGAACAGAAACGTTTCATTGATATAGTGGTGAAATATCTAGTGTGTTCATCAATCCACATCCGAACACGAAATCATACATACTTTCATATATCGTAAGTAGAAGATGGGGCTACAGAGAAAATAACGATGAAAAAGTCAGCTCACATTATGGTCGGTGTTTAGCTCCTGATATTAGTCAGCATGCTCATGAAGTGGGAACATTTGTAATGAATCGGTACTGAAGTCTCAGGTTCGAATATTGTTTTTAGTAATACCAAAAATAGGATGTTTGTGTGAAACAGAAGTGTTGTGAATGTATTCCGATAGCATCCTTCAATAACAAATTTTCTACCATCCCGATCTTCCCACTAGCACTGATTGGTTGAAAGTAGACCAATCAGTGTTATTCTGGCTTTAATATGTATTAGGTAAATCTCTTACTAAGACGACTAGAATCCATATCACTTTCTAGGATGTAATAGAGTAAACATATGCTATTCTTTCAGGATTTGGCTAAACCAAAATACTACACGTCGATAATTCTACACTAGAATCACACTTAGCTGTAAGCAACGCATATAAATTACCATGATTCATAGGTGAGCCGACACAATTTCGAAAGACCAAACTACTAGACAGCAGACCGCATATATTGTGAGATTTGAGATTTAATGTATGTATCATGATATCTAACCAAGGTAGCATTACTGATTTGTCTACCACATAACTTATGACTAATCAAAGATAGAAATAAATTTCGAAATTCCAGCCAAGACCCGTTTACTTTTGACCATCGTTATTAAACTACCGATGCCCAACAATCTGAGCAGATTCAGGCACTCATTTTCAGGCTACACGTTTTATTTGGGCGTTAGCGACAGTGTTTCAGGTTCCTTTAACTGAATCAGATGGCGAATAGCTAGAATCTGAGACTGGATGATTGAAAGTTTAGTACTTAATTCATCAAATTGTAACTACTTCATATCGAGATTGAAATGATCGTTGGATTTGTTTCTTAAAACAGTAGAGTTGGATAAATGCTTATTTGTACGACTTACGATCTTTATCTAATTAAATATGTTTTATTATATAACAAGCAGAATGGTCAATTGGATATGGTTATAATCAGCTTAAAGCAATGGTTTAATGGTTTTGGGCTTTAAAACTTCTGTCAATTGAACTAGATTTAAACACTTAATCTACCCCCTGTTTTACTCTGGTCGTTTACGAAGCCAGTCATTCTTGCGTAGAACCTACCACATATGTGCATCGGTTCAAGTTGTTACACCACATTAATACAGCTTGATGAAACTATCAACACAAACTCCAGAGTAGTAGAAATAGTGACAATATTAGAAGTAATATCAGTAGACAATATTTGAGGTGGATGGTGGTTCAATGAACATTTCTTAACCATCTTATTCAATGGACATTCACTGTATTTTCAATCAATTTTCCATTTTCACCTTAGTATTCTATCTTTAACCTCAGCGTCACTCCAGTGATCTCAACATACTCGAGCTATTCTTCGAAATCACTTATAAACAGATACTAGTAACTTACGAATATCTTCTACGAGTTGTCTATTAATTTACTATCTCCCTAAAAATGGACAAAAATCACGTCATGATGTACAATTCTGTACAATGTTATCAAATAATGATTTAAATTAAACTTTAAATAATCCAGTTGAAATAAGTGTAAATATATTAACACTATTCATTGAATTGACTTTGCAATGACTGTCCATTTACGTTTATCCAATTTCTAATAGTTTGAAATATTTTTAAAATTTATATGAAAATTTTGTTATTTTTAACAATTTAATTTCGAAGGTATCCTTATCAGAAAATCCTAATACAATTGTTCATCCGCCTAGTTTAATTATGCCTATGCCTCGGTCTGTCGCTATTGCTACTTCTACTACTACCATGAATAATAGTAATGTATCGTCTAAAACAAATGATCCATCTCTAATCAACCAGTTCGATTATTCCAATGCTTCATCTTATGCAAGTAGTAACAGTACATCAATAAATAATCAATTGAATGGGTATACAACACTTCCTATGGATGGTGTCTACGATCCAACTAACAGTGCATGGTATCCTGGATATTGGAATTCGAATAATCTATGGGTATCAACGGCAACTGGTCAAGGTGGTTATTTAACAACACCATTCAATAATAACAGATTATCTCTACCAATTTCTTCATTTTCACCCAACCCACAGTCGTTCAACACAGATGAATATGCAGTTCTACATCAACAATATGTAAATACGATAAATAATGATTTCACTGGTGTTATCAATACTGGTAATAATCATCATCGCCATCATCATTCAACAGATTTAATAACAAATTATAATCAGTCAAGAGATAGGACGGTTGTTGTTAGTCAACAGCCACAACAAACACTTTTAGCTAACAACACTACTTCATCTATGCCATCCCTATCATCATCTTCGTCGATAATGCTCAATGCAGCATCTTTATCATCAACACCAGTCAGTAAATTATTATCATCATCATCGTCATCATCATCAAACCAAAAGGAATATCACACATTATCGTATTACACTAATCCGAAATCAAATGATTCTTTAACAAATTTACAAAATATTCAATATTGTTCTTATCCTCTACCGTTTTATAACACGAATAACGTTGTCAATATGATAAATAGTAGTTATAATAACAATCATACTACTGCATCTGTTATCACTCATAATAATACTAATAGTAATATTAACAGTAGTAATAATAATAGCAGTAATAATAGTAATAATATGCGTTTAATTTTAACGATATTAGCCAATTCACGAGCAAATACTACCGCTATCGCTACTCCAAATATTGTCCATAGTCCTTATCGTTATAGTCCAGATCGAAATAGTTTATTATGTAAAAGTCAAAAGCTATTATCTGTCAATCCCATTTCGTGTAATACAAACACTACTCGATCTATGTGTAAAGCGTTTTCACAATCCGAGTTGGCACGTTTAAACTTGAAGTAAGTAGTTATGTTTGATTTACTATATATACATTACTTCCTTACTTACACCTATTCCCTCTCATGTAGCAGCATGGGCTGCCCACCAGGATTCTTCATCTGACTCTGTTCTGGACAATCATTTCCAGTTACTATTCATTCTTTTGATGTCTGCTCCCAATTTCCGATGCATTGTATTCCTTAATCTTCCTACCTTAATTTTCCCTTCAGGATTCCATATTAAGGCTTTTCTCGTGATGCAGTCTGATGATTTCCACAGTGTATGCCCTATCTACCACTCCCATCGTTTTTCCTTAATTTCCCCTTCAGATGGAAGTTGGTTTGTTTTCTCCCACAGTAGGCTGTTGCTGATTGGTATCCGGCCAACGGACATTCAGTATCTTGTGTAGACAGTTGTTTATAGATAATTGTACCTTTCTCATGATGTTGAGGTAGTTGTCGAGGTTTCGGCTCCATACAGTAGAACTGTCTTGACGTTCGTATTGAAGATTCAGACTTTTATATTGGTTTACGGTTGTTCTGAGTTCCTTATGTTCTTTAATTATATATATAATACAAAATCCTATAGGTGAACGTGAATTTGTAGCACATTCGCCTTTGAATGCCCAGTATGTGTCATTTTTCCGTTCATTTGGTAACTAAATGTTGGATACAAGGGAATAATTTCCAGTCAGGATTTCACTTCAAGATGTAGCTCCTCATTGATTTACTGTTTTTTCACCTAGCAAGTTGGAATGAGCTACAGTGTCATGTTCATAGAAAACATATGAGGATAACTTAAGATGACTGAAATGAAATCCTCAGTTAAAACTATGCTCTTCTGTGCTTCCCTGACCGACTAAATGAATGGGGAAAAATGTTCAAAAGTGCTAAATATTAAACCTTTATAGAACATTGGAAAATGGATGGTTATCCTCACACCGTCATAAGTAATATAATTATAATAAAATAGAGCTAACTGTGCTTTGCGTTTAAATCCGTCAAATTCCAGCCACTGGGTATCATGTCCGAACCTAACTGTATTTACTTCGGTTTAGCGAACGTAGGTATGATCATCTGTCATCACACCCAGGTTCAAGTACATTGACATACATACATAGAATCGTTATGTACTAATTGAGGTAACTATTGACTCATTTCTGATACTTTTTTCCAACTCTTCAGTATAAACATTGATTATCTTTCACCGAGTGTATTGTTCGTTCAGATTTCTCCAATCAATAACTACATAATTTAGGTAATGTTAGGAAAATAAGCTAAAGCTTTATCAGTCAGCGTATGACCTGCCATGATATATATTTATATATGTCGATCCTAGTGATCGTATTTCATATCATCACAGCGAAAGAGAACGCCCACACTATGAGATACAGCTACAATCCAAATCTTAATATAAAAAATACTATGATAAAAATATCTTAGAAGAAAAAAGAGTTAGTAATTACACTTGACTTAATATTTAGTCAAGAACAAGGGCTGGCAAAGAGCCTATGCAATGATCGTGAGCAGTCGTGCGTAGCGAAAGCACGAGAAATAGAAAAGGCATCGGCTATAGGTAACAATAGACAACTGTTTAAAAAATCAAGAAAGATTTATTAAAAATCTGGGATTTTTCGGAAAAATACAGAACTATTATTAACTCTCAATGTAGGACATTGGACTGATGAGCATGACATTAAGTAATAGTGAATCTTCATTAACTGAGTTGGTTGGAAAAATGTATTACATATGCCCATCCACCGTTTGCCTTGACGGATGGTGTTGGCTGGTGTATGACTAGGTTGAAGGAAATCTAAGAATGGACAAACTGAGATGTTCCACCAATCTATGAAGTTATTGGCATGTAGGCTGAACAATGTGGGCAGACACAGACTACCTAGTCCAGTCTCGCAAAACTTTCGTAACCAACAGTGTAAAATTATATAGTTCATTCATCTAAATAACTTGAATATATTAGTACCACTGCTAGAAATCATTTCGTTGATACTACCATGAAATAGTTTTATCGGTGAAATTTCAACTGAAATTTTGAAACACATTCCTCTTATTTCAATAGATCAAAGCCACAAATACATATATTTGTATTAGGCCACTGTGTTGCATTTAATCTATTCGCTTAGTTTGACCAATATATAGTAGATTTTTGATTATATCATGTCCCATTTTCTGTTAGAGAACAAGGTAGACTTCTTATAACATAAATTAATCGTCAACTGTAGACTAATGTGTGATTTTTGTTCATTTTGTAATATCAGGATGGCTTGTTTTTGAATTATAATGGACAAGTTATAAATTGACTGACTTACAAAGTAAATTTTCTCCAATCTCTAATGCCATATAATCATGTTAATCTTGATGTTTAATACTTTGTAATATAAACGTGTTGTTTAGTTGGAGGTAAACATGAGTTCGACTGAACAGCTAGATATCTTGGCTTGTGGCATACTAGTTTAGTCAGGTGCTTATGTCAATAATTCATTTTCGCGAACATCCGTCACTTGGCCACTTTGTATTGGTACATATTATCTATCGATTGGCATTGGGTTTTTTTATTTCAACAATTATAATCCTCAATCACTAATGAGATCCAATTTCATTACTGTTTTCACTTATGATGTTTTCTTGTTTACTGTACATATGTAACATGTCCAACATTTAATTCGTGTGCTGTTGAATAGTACACTAAAGTGTATAGAAATCAGTCGTTAACTTGAATATCATCTCAAAATTTATTCTTTATTTATTTTAACACATAGATATTGGTACAAAGAGGCACCAAATACATATGCGCCACACAAATCTCATTCGATATGTGTGAGGACTGTGATACTGCCCGGTTGCACAAACCGAAGCAGGTGGATTTCTAAGGGGGCCACACCCGAGGCCTTCGACCTGAAGGTCTGATCCACAAGGCAGTGGAGCATCGTCAAGTGATGCAGTCCCATGGTAGCCGGTGACCAACAATTGGTTCGTACGCCATTCGTTCCTTTAGGATACTGGAGTCCATGTACACCGTTGGGTTGGAATTGGGGTTTTCCAACTCCCTTAGGTGAACTCTCCATGTCCACCAACCCGGTTAAAGCGCCGGACATTCGCTTTTCGTCCTCTCGATTTCGTAAACAACACCCATGGTGCGAGAAGGCGATGAGTAGGACTTCCCTAGCAGAGGCTATATACGCGTAGCCATGTGGAAGCATTTCAAAAGGTATAGTGGACTCTCTCCAATCGCGACCGTACCAGGGCATTTGGGGGCCTTACAGATTACACAACACTCTTTAACCAAATGTTTTTTCGTGAATCTTGAAGTTTCCAGCGCCATCTGAAAATAAACAATGCTCATGTATAATCGTTTGGTATTTGGTATTGTGTAAACAAACTGACTGATAGTGATAATAATAAACAGAAAAATCAATGTTTCATTCATTCTGTTTCTTTTATAAGACAAAATCATATTATCGGTGTGTTTGTTTAGATCTCGACATTGTTATACATACATTCTCGCTTTATTCTTGTTCGAAATTTGTTTTTTCTTCCCCTTATCGACCAATTGAGGTTGGAAACATGCTGTTAGATGGGCAAATCACGTAGATATATGTAAAATAATTCTACTCATTTATTAATCGTAATTATCTGACTGAAAAACTTGGATAATAAATAATCACTTCAAATTTTCTCACGCTTTAACAGAAGTAATTTAATGTTACTAAAGAAAAATGTGCAATAAATATGTTCATAGTACAGTCCGTGTGCGTTGTCATTATGTTGACTGTACTTGCATGTGACGTCAGTCAGTTGTTTCTTTCAGACAATAATCATCTATAGGGATGCTGTCTTCCAATAACATAAGGAGCAGGCTTAGAAAGGTTAGCTCTAGAAATAGTACATGTCTAGTTCCACAGATTTGGTAAAAATAAAAAGTGTTCATGTGATCCGATCAAATTAACTCTAACCTGAGCATTTTCATTTGGATTGGACCACATACTTATTGATTACTACTGATTAATATGGAGTTTTCGATTTTGGAATGTTACAACCACAATAAAATCATTATATATATATCTGTACATAAGTATTCGTTATAATTTAGCTCTTTAGATTATTAGTTATAGTCTTGGAGAATTGTAGTTGCTTGTTTCAAAGTTTGCAATTATGCAACCAGACTTTATTGATGTGCGTATGATTTCTTGTGCAAGTCAAATGATTATATATATATATATATATATATATATATATATATATATATATATATATATATATATATATATATATATATATATATATAATCGATTTTCCATACTGCATCATACCTTTCCGCTGGTTCACAATAATAAGTATTTGTGTGTGTGTGGCGATGATTTGTTGTGAGTGTGTGTTTAAACACTTGCTTTTGTATGCATATTTATACATTTTGTAGACCTTGGTTTATATATATATATATATATATATATATATATATATCGATTATCCCCCGTCAACATTTTTAGCAAGGGTATAGAGTTAGTTGCCACTCCAACGACCTATGCACATTCACATGAAATGAGTCTAATTTTATTTTAATGTATTTATTAGTCGGAACTAGTTTGATTATTTCAATATGTAAAAATCGCACATTATTTTAGATAGATTCCACTGATAATAGTAATATGGTTGGCATTTTGCCTTACAAACTCATATTGACTAAACAATCATTACACTAAACAAATATTTCATCCTAGCATGAGACTCACAAGCATCATGAACAGAGACTGAGGTGAAGATTTTGAAAGTATCTGCTGATCGTTTTGCCTTTAGACTACTTAGTTAGCATTCAGTGGTTTACTTGTCTAACTCCAGTTACAGTTTACTATATTGTCGATGGTGATAACTGCTTCACTCCCAACAGGTTTTGACCCTGTTGGCTACTTCCTAATGGAATGTATGTAAACATTAGTAAACAGCATGTTTGTCTACTTGAGGCTGAATTGTGATTTAAGACGATGCGGTTCAATGTGTGTTCGCCA